GTGATCTTCATTTACTGAGTTAGTATACATGATAGAGCTATAATAGAGTGTTATGGATATGAAATGAGGAAGGAGAGGTTACCTGGGGTGGAATGGAAACCTTTCACAGAGGAAGGATAACTTGAACTGATGTTGAAGATATAGAAGAAAATGCAATAGTTAAGTGGGAAAGGGCAGTGTTGTTCAAGTAACCATATACACAGAGGCATGAAGACTTGAGAAAACATCATTTCTTTAAGCCTAAAATATAGAGTATGCCAACGGGCCTACTGCAATATTGTTGGGCATAAAAATGTGCCAAGTTCAAAGAGGACATTTCCTAGCCTTTTCTTCAAATAAGGGTTAAGAATGCAACTCACTCAGGCCTGCTTCTTGAGTCAAACGTGTTGTGGAGCGAGGTTTCCAGGCAAACTCCTTGAAAGCTCAGCTGGAGTAAGCCTTTTGCCCTTTCCCCTCCTGTTCTTCCCACCTGGAATGCAATCATGATGCCCAGAGAAAGAACAATGCCCTGTGACCACAGGTAACACGCGAGTGTTAAGGGTGGCTGAGCAGAAAGATACAAGGATCCTGCAGCCCGAAGACAGATAGAACAGCTCTGCTGACTGTCTATCATAGACTTCTCATGACCAGAGGGAAAATTCCTTAAGTAGTTAAGCCATTGATTTGCAGTGACAAACTGATGGACTAGAAGAAGCTGACTCTGATGAGGCCTGAGCAGTTAACGAGTTTGAACTGTGTCTGGTAACGGTTCTTAAACCTCAGCACGTTTGAGACTCTCCAGAAGTGCCTGTAATATATGCACATTTCTCAGCCACACCCGCATAGATTCTGATTCTGATTCCAATTGTCTAGGTGGCACATAGAAATTTCAACTTTCTCTTACGCTGGTTCTAAGACCACATTTAAGCAAGCAAACCAAACCCAACAAATGGCAAAAATTTAAAAACCCTCTCATATCTGTGGATGTGGAGCAATTGGTGCATTTGCATGGAAGGTGAGGCACATATTCTTTGTTTCTCTTTCTCTTCCTTCCTATTTTCCTACTTCACACGAGAACTGCTATCCACAGTTTACAAAATCCAAATCCGACATCTATATTCAGGCATAAGACTGGTAAAGAAAATGCTTTATGTCTAATTTAGCAACATTTAAATAGTGCTTACTATACTACAGGCACTGTTCTAAGAATTTTACAAGAATTTTATAAGAACTCTATGCAGTAGGAACCACTGCCATCCCAACTAATAGATATGGGAACTGAGGCACCGAGATGTTAAATAACCAGGTTACACAGCTATTAAGTAACTATACTGCACCTCTAACTGTTGGCAACATAAATTTATTATTTGCAGTTTCAACTATTTAGTGACCCTCAAAAATTTCAACATTTATTCAACCAATAAGAATAAAGACATACCAACACATGGTGGTTCTGAGACATAAAAATCTGGAGAAATTAAGATCTTTTAGTAAAAGCATCTAGCTTGAATTTGAATCTCATGGGCTATGATGGTGGTTTTGATAAGCAAGGTATTTAGCTAGCCTTGCACATCACCACACACTTATTTCTTAGTTCTTGAATTTCTGGGTTTTATGAATTTGGAAATCTCAAAGATTTGGAGCTGTAACCAGTGCAAATATTATCAGTCTCCACATTAGCATTTCTCCAAATATTTTTTTCCTTTAACAATTCAACGAGATGTTAAATTTTAAAAAGGCTTCATGTTGAAATAAATTTGGAAAATATTAGTTTATACAAAGTCTTCACTGTATGATCTGTCAGAACTTTAATATAAAAAAGCCCACTATAAATCTCCAAGAGAGAAATATCTGCAGCATTTCCCAAAAGTTTCACCAAGGAATTCTTTTTTTTTTTTTTGAGTTTTAAGTAATGTTCCACAAAACACAATTCTAAGAATCATGGCTTACTGTGTATTCAAATTTAAAACTTTTCTTTTGTATAACTTGAAGAAATATTTTTGGCAGAACTATTCATGCAAGACTTTTTGCAATTTGTGGTTACTCAGTAATCTCTGTAGTCATGTAGATCATAGAGCAAATGAGTAATAAAAAGAGAGAATGAAAAAATTACTAAATGCAAATTTCTCTTCTTAGCAGCACAAGAAAAGCAGTTTTAGGAATCATTTCAAAATATTTATATTTGTTTTTAAATTCATTATAATTTATTTTAGTATTTTATTCTCAATATCTTCCTGTGCTCATCTTGCAGAGTTCTGCTGTTTTCCCTTTGAGCTCTGCCAGATCAGTGTTTTGTGTAGTCTTCTGTTTCTTTTTCTTCCTCTAATCATAAACTGTAACTATAAAACATAAAACCGAAAGACTCATCAGCTTTATTCAGCCAGTAGACATCTTCTGAAGTGGGAGAAACAATCTCAATGTATGCAGGATAAAAAGAAAATCCAATTTTTCTTAATGAGCTAAATAGGCTGAGATATCTTTGTTATAGGAAAACTGAAAGGTAAATAGTAAATACTAGTAAATATGCCTGAACTTCTCTACTAAGGAAAATGCTCTCATTAATGTTGGTGCTTTATTGTTTTGGTTTCATCAAACATAAAACAACGTTTTAATAATCTGAATAGGTAAATTCAAGGCTCTGAAAGGATTGCTGGATTTAAGAAGAGGTACAATAAGCATTCATTTTGGATATTTTTCAATTAAATATTTTAGCTGATTAAAAAAACCTTGAAACTTGTTTAATGATAATAAAGGACTGATTAAGGCAACCAATTTAATCTAAATCATGTATGGACTTGATTGATACATAAGAACACTGACTTCTGACACAATCTGATAAAATATTTAAAATAACCCATATGTGTTAATTAGATATATTACTCTTAGTGTCTTGTTGCCTTTCTTAATATTTAACATAAATAATTTTAAATTAAAATTAGGGTCATACAATAAACAAGTAAAAAAATAAAAATGTTTCTAACTGAACTCAGGTTTTCTCTTCTCTCTGGAGCATAAGTGCTTTCAGGGAAAGAATCTTTTGGAGCATTAGTCTCATATTTTTACTCCTTGTGTGTGTGTATATAGTATGTGTCTCTTTCTCTTTGTTTTTATATTTTCATTATAAAAGTCAGGTCATATTTTAATATGTGAAATTTCTGTTTGTTATCTTCTTTTATAACAAAGGATATATCTACATATTAATTACTATTGTTATTCACTCATTCCCCAATATATTATGTAAAGAGAATACAATGATAAATTAAATGCACTCCAAGTTGCCCCAGGAAATGTCCTATCACTTGCATAGATGAACAGTAACAGAATTATAAATCCTATCAATGACATTATAAGATCTCCTCTAATAAATGAGAGTGTTCACTTCACCATTCCACTCCAACAAATTTCCTAGTCCTTTGTCTTTTTGTGATGGAATGAAATTAAGTGAAATCTGGATATTGGCATATCTCCAAGTTTTCTCTTCTATGTCTGCCTCATATTTTTATTATAGACACCACTAACCTGTGGTTTCCTAACAAAAAATGGTAATCTCATACAAATAATTAATCAGTCTACCAAAGTTTTTCAGTGTTCTGTCGGAAATTTATTCAAAACCAGGTGGGCAAATTAGAGAATTATGTTAAAAGACCAAAGTTTAGAATACCAATCAATCAAAGAACAAAATATAAAATATTATGATATATTTGTCATGATGTAATCAGTAAGTGATGATCCAGGTTAATTTTTTTTATTGAGACTAATTAGTTACCTTTCTGCTTGACCTTAACTTGGATTTCTAACTAAAGCCAATTTGCTCATACACACCTACAGAAATACAGAGAAAAACATTATATTAAACCTAGATTTTTTAAAAAGTTTAGATTAATAATCCTTACCTAAGCCCTAGCAGGTTTGGCTTAGTGTCATCAGCCTGTGGACTGAAGTGTCGCCGGTTCAATTCTGGTCAAGGGCACATGCCCAGGTTTCAGGCTCAGTCCCTAGTGGAGGGCATGCAGGAGGCAGCCAAATAATTATTCTCTCTCATCATTGATGTTTCTATCTCTCTCTCCTTCTCCTTTCCTCGCAGAAATCAATTAAAATATATAAAATAATAATCTGTACTTAAATCTTAAATCTGTAAGGCTAATTATTATCACCACAGTTGTTAATGTCTAGAGTTGTGCCTTTCAAACTAATAGACACTAGTTACATGTAGGTGCTTAGCTGCTGGGTACCTGAAATGTTAAGTTCAAAGTAAGATGTGCTGTAAATGTAAAATATACTATAAATTTAGAAGACATTACAAAAAAGAATGTAACATATCTCATTAATTTTCATTTGATTAAATATTAACATAATATCTTAATATATTGGGTTATAAATAAACTATGATATTAAGATTAATTATTTTCAACTGTTTTCTTTTACTGTGTTATTGAGAGTACCAGGACATTTAAAGTACATATGTGGCTTGCACTGAGGCTCATATTATATTTAACTTCCAAATTTACAAATGTGTATTTTATCAGCACTGTTCTAGAGCAATTCTTTGTTTATAAGATATTAATTAATACTATTAATAAATTTTAAGAGGCTTAAAAGTGTTATATGATGGAAAACTTTAAAGATAAAATAAAAATTAAAAATTTTAAGTTACACTAGGTTACAAGGTTTTACTTTTTTTAAAATATATTTTTGTTTTGCATTTATTTTTTAGTTTATCTGTATTTTCTAATTTTTCAGCAATAGGTAAGTGATAAATGCATGGATTTTTAAAAATTAACATGAATTGAAATGGGCTTTATAAGAAGAAAACTAGGAGACCATGTGGGAGGCCTGCAGGTGGGCCATGAGAGGGGAGCCAGGCTTCATTGAAAGGAATCTGGGTAAGAGAATGTTGTCACGGCAGCTAAGTGCATCCTTGATATTTGGAGCCAGGTAACTGTGTGCAAATACAAGCTCTAAACTATGATAATGGACAATTTTTTTAAACATTTCCAAGGCTATCTGATCATAAATCCTACCTTGAAGGCATGTTGTAGAAATTACATGACATGATCATGCAAAACAAGTAGCATCATGCTCCTTAGAGTTGATGGCAAACAAATGATGAGTAGGCAGATATATCCTCCAGGGTGATGGATACTTTACTCTTCATCAATGTCAGTGCCTTCGTGCACTTAGTCTTCCACCACTACACAGCCTGGGGAAGGAGTAATGAAGAATCCAGAGTCAGTACCAGAGAATACACCCTTCTCCCCAGATGCCCATCCAAATCCAAAACTCCAGCTAAGAGTCTAAAAAGAAGCCCTGTTTTCTACTATCAATTTACATGAACCATTTCCCCATGTATGTTAGGAAACAATTCCTCTAACTAGTGAGTAAATGTTGGTTTTATGTGTGCTACATTTACAGTGGGCCAGGAATGAACTGAAAATCAATGGGCACATTGATTTAGTAGGCAGAGAACAAACACTAAAGCAGCGGTTCTCAACCTGTGGGTCGCGTCAAACGACCCTTTCACAGGGGTCGCCTAAGACCATCCTGCATATCATATATTTACATTATAATTCATAACAGTAGCAACATTACAGTTATGAAGTAGCAACGAAAATAATTTTATGGTTGGGTCACAACATGAGAAACTGTATTTAAAGGGCCAGAAGGTTGAGAACCACTGCGTGACTAAAGGTTTTCAAAAATATCTTGGATGTTTCTGAAAAAGAATTATTGAGAAGAAGGTAGACTAGATGTCCCTGAAGTTCTCAAATCTAAACATTTATGATTCTATGACTTTTACTTTAGTACATGATTAAGGTTTTTAGACTTTATAATCATTGTGTTTATTAGCTAATTGTACACATGCTTAAGACATTTTTTTCATGTCATTACTTTTTGATGATTTTCTCTTTTATGGTATGGTGTGCCTTTGCAAACTTCTTTCCTTTAAATATGTTTTCACAGATGATTAACTCCTCTCTGACTGACAGTCTTTTCACTATATTAACATCTTTAGTCTGATTATAGTCAAATTTAGCAAGTTTAGAAGCTTTAGAAACGATACTCTTTAAAGTATCTTTTTGTTGTTGAAATGACAAAGCCAGGTTTATTGCTCCAGGTGAAACCAGTGCATACAAATTGAGGGGGGAGATGAGTAGAGAAAGTTGGAGAACATGTCCTCAGAGTCATTGCTGAGGCACCCTGGGGAGCTGCCCCATGCACTATGCATGTGCTGTTCATCTGCTCACAGGCCAGGCTACACAATACACCCCAAATTTCGAGCTGCAACCCAAGGCTCTGGGAAGCAGGGCTCATTCTGTCCACGGTGCTGCCCGTGGAGTAGCCTGCAGAGGTCTGAGGATGGAGGCAGGGGCTGTGTCCTTAGGAAGGTGTCTTGGTGGAGGAGGAAGAGGCTGCCTACTTTTTGGCAAAGGCTTTCAAGCAATGCCAGCTTCTTGGGCGGGCTGGTGCTGGCTTTCACCAACACATCATGTTTAATCTTCCGGAACCTGACTTCCAGGTCCTTCTTGAGCTTTGGCTGCTGCACAATGTGTGCCTTCTTAGGGGTAATACCACGACCTCCCTTCCTTGGCCTCCGCATGGTTCTGCTCCCAGGCCTCTGCAACCGCAGTGTCTTGCCCTTGGCCGGCCTCTGCACCTGGAACGTGCGCTGCCCCTGAGTCATGATTGGAAATCTTGTGCCCCAGGATGTGGGCCTAACTGCTTCATTCTGAGCAGGCAGTCTCATTTCCCTACTTCCAAGTGCTCAAGGGACTCAGCCTGCAATTCTGATTACTGATGAATTATTGATGAACAAACTATGGTCAGACACTCACAATGTTGCTGATTTTTAAGTTCAGATTCAAAGATGATCCATCTTTAAAATGTTCAAATTTATAAACTAAGTTATGATCTTTTCTTTCTTAGATATGAACAATGTAAACAACTGAAATTAATGTATTTAGTTTGATAAACTTGTTCACATTTGACACTTGGAGCTTTAAAAATTATTTTTAAAGGATAAGAGCTGCCTCTTTAGAGCTAGGGAAGAGAGGAGAGTTTTAGTAGCCAAAGGCCAAAATATTCTGTAAAAATCAAATTGGAAATAGAAGAGTTTTCTTGCCTCTCAACAGCTGGCAGAGCCTCACCCTGAGAAAACCTTGGCAGATTTTAATGCCAAGTTTACAATTAAGAAGGAAGAAATAATAAATGCTGCCCCAGCTCACACACACACTACACACACATTTCCCCATACGTCCTCTCTTTTCTAAGTGATTCAAATTTAAAAAAACAACAACCATGAATGAAATGATAGAGCACATCTTTTCAAAGGAATGAAGACATCTGATAACAACAAATTTAAGTTCTTCAACTCATAAAAGGACATAATTTTAAATGCAATTAAATTAGTAAATGCTAAAGTGATGCAGTCCAAAGAGATAGCCCTCTAACTTGATATAAGAAGAAATTATTATACCTTTATTTCTTATCCCCTACCCCTCTATGGACACTCTGAAGTCCCTAGTACACATCATCATTGGTACACACAAGCCCCCTCTCACTTTATATTATTTTATTTCCCCTTTTGCCCTTAACTTCAGTACTTTTCCCTTCATCTTACTGGCTTCCTATTGTGTCTGATGTATGGCACTAAAGATTTATGAGCTATTGATAAAATATAGGCTGTGAAAGTTTTTGTTACAGATCTTCTCTTTCTTCCCTAATTCACACTGTACAGGTCTATTCAGAGGTTGCATATTAAATATGGCTGCACATTCTTGGCTATTCCCTCCAATCAAGAGACAAATTAATATCCCTTACTTTGAATCTGGTACGCTCTGTGAATGCTTTCACTAACAGAATATGGCAAAATTGACACTGAGCTAGTTTCAAAACCCAGGCCTTCAGAAACAGACAGTTTCTACTTCCTACCCTTAGAATGCCTTCAGTGAGAGCCCTGAGATACCAGGTAAAAAGTCCACCTACCTGAGACCACCTTTCTGGAGAAGTCACACCACACATAGACACTCCAGTTGACAGTCCCAGTTGAGTCCAGTCTTTCAGCCTCTACCAAGGCACCAGGCATGAGAGTGAAGCCATCTGTGTGCTGCAGACCAGCCCTTCTACTAATAAATACCAGTTGGTCACACCAGTTACTGTCATGTGAAGTACAAGAATCATCCAGTCAAGTCTTGTCTGAATTCCTGACCCATAAAATTGTGAGGTGCTAAATGGTTGTTGTTTTAAGTCACTAAGTATGGGATAGTTTGTTGCTCATTAATAGATAATGAAAATAATGTGCTACTGCAAGTCCTGCTACTTTATGATTTCTGACTGCTATAGATTTAGTTTTCTTTGTCTACGGTGATCCATGAGTTCTTTTAAATTTATATCAATATAAGCATTGTATTGTTGACCTAGTTCTTTTTGCATTCTGCTCTTTTGAAGATCCATCCATGTGGCTCTTTGAAAATCTACTTGTTTTCTTCCAAGTGTCCAACTTCAACCACCACATATGTTTCCATATCTTTAGAACCAAATACAATACTGTAATACATATACTTACACATGCTTATCTGTCACCCAATGCAATAATTCCTTTGGGATATATTCCAAGGACTAGGATTGCCAGATGACAAGGAATATGCACATTAAGTTTTGCGTAATACTGCTACACAGCTCTTCATCATGGTATTGCACCATACCTTTATACTTATCATAAGTACTATTACATTAAGAGTTGTTGCATTTCTCCCACCTAATTCTGTGTTCTCTCTTTTTTATTTATGTTATAGCTTTCTGCCTCCTGTCGGATAGATTAACTTTTCTTCTGCTGATTTTAAAGCTACATATTATTTTGTATTCTACTGGCAATTAATATATTAGCCAGGATTCAGTTACAAAGAATAAAATCCTCTTTAGTTAGTTTTGCCGGGAAGTATTAATTACAGAGTTTTAAATGGTTTACGAACTCATTAGGAGAGCTGAAGAAACATACTCTAGGTCAGTGGTTGGCAAACCATGGCTTGCAAGCCACATGTGGCTCTTTGGCCCCTAGAGTGTGACTCTTCCACAAAATACCACGTGCGGGCGCGCACATACAGTGCGATTGAAACTTCGTGGCCCATGCGCAGAAGTCGGTTTTCGGCCTGGGTGAGTCTATTTTGAAGAAGTGGCGTTAGATGGAGTGGGGGGTGTCGGTCCATCGGGAGACGGGAGACAGAAGAGATGGGAGACGGAGACGCGGTGTAGGCGGGCCGCGGGATATGCAGCCTGGGGGAGGTACATTGTTTTGAGGTACATTCCCTGAGGTCAACCCCTTCCAACTCTCCTATCCACACTCGTCTATCTGAAACAAGTATACAAGACTAGTGTGGATGGGAGAGTTGGAAGGGGTCGACCTCAGCGAATGTACCTCAATCAGATTGAGGACGTTTTTTAGCAAAGGCCAGTTTAGGAGTACCCTAATTAAATAAGTTAATAACAATGTACCTACCTATATAGTTTAAGTTTAAAAAATTTGGCTCTCAAAAGAAATTCAATCGTTGTACTGTTGATATTTGGCTCTGTTGACTAATGAGTTTGCCAACCACTGCTTTAGGTTAAATTTTAGAAATAATTCAGGAAAATTCTTAGTCATTGTTGCTTTAAATATGCATTCCCTACTCTTTTTACTTTTTTATTTTATTTCTCTGACTCCTGCTATTCAAGTACGATTTTTTAAATCTCTTGGGTTTTTTTTTATATTTTTCATTTCTGTGATTTCTTAATGTTATTTGGATAGTTTCTTCCATCAATTCTTGTAGCCTACACATTCACTTTCACCTTTAACATTTTGATATACATCCTACATATGGAATTCTTTTGACTGTTATATTCTTTAAATACATAATTCCCAACTGGTCCTTTTTTTTTTTTATCAATATTTGTTTCCTTCTTTATATTACCGGTGTCTGCCCTTACTACTCCTTTGAGGATATTAAGCTTATTTTAAACCCTGTTCTCACTTTTCTCATTCCTTTTCTTTAGATATAATCATCTAGCCCTTGGAGTATGGGAAGAAAAGGGGCAGCAGGAAATACTCAGGCATTCACTGTTATTCATCCCTATCTCTGCCTTTTGTGGTTTTCCTGCTCACATGGAAGTAGGGTAGACACTGACCCACCCAAGGAAATGAGGGCAAGAAAAATTTGCTCTTACATTGGAATGAAAGTTTGGCTTTGTAAAGTATCTAAATAATTTTCCTTTAGTACCTTGGAGACATTGTTTTCTAGCAACCTACATCACAGCCAAGAAATCAGATGTTATTTTAGTTCTCTTTTTTTTGAGCAATTTCTTTTTTTCCTTTGTAATTATGAGGATATGTTTATTATATATTTTATTGCTTGTTCTCTTATATCTCCTCTATTTCTTCTTCAGAAACTCTAGGAGAGAAATTAGCTTTTCTAGATCTATTCTTTATGCCTCTTAAACCATATAGAATCTATCACTTATGTAAAAGGAATTCTATAATCTAGATGGGAATATTTAGGCAGTTACTAATAAAAATTAAAATAAGCTTACAATTAGGTCAAAGAATTAACCCCCAAAAACCTTTACCCAAATGAACTAGTATATAAGAATACATGTACAAATACTCAAGCTTTTATTTTTGCCTTAGCAAAACATATGAATGTTCACCAATACAAGGATAGTTGAAAAATATTAGGGCATATGTATTCTATGAAATAGTATGCAACTACTTATAAAATAAATTAGATTAAAAGTTTTACTTAAATTATTTTTCCTTTAATAACTGTGAATATATTCAGTGATAATGTTATTACTTTTAATTGTTTTTAAAGAAAAACATTAAAGGAAGAAAAAATTAGAAGGAAGAAAGACAAGAAAGAAGGAAGAATGTAGAAAAGCAGGATTAACTCACAAGCTCTATAAACCTTTGAATTTTGCTGATAAAGGTTTTTATCTCCGGCTTTTGTGTCCCACCCCTGGAGGGACCTAGCATTTACAAAGTTTCAGGCTGTTTTCATTGAATTACACAGTTGGCAGAAATAGACCCTTCCTGCATATTTATTGGAAATCCTAATTCTATAAACTCCCTCATCAATTGGGTAATTATTTTCCTAAATTGGCAGTCCTTATTTTTCTAATAAGAGAGAAACATTGATTGGTTGCCTCCCGGTACATGCCCCTAATCGGAATCAAACCCGGGACCCTTCAGTTTGTGGGCTGATGCTCTATCCACTGAGCCAAACCTGTGAGGGCCCAAGTAGCTTCCTTTTACTACCATTTTCTATAACTTGCTAAATTAGTCAGGATTGTTATTTTTTAAAGTTCTGGTAATCTTTAAGTTGGGGCTTAATGTGAGTCTAACAAAGGACAAACGAGACAAATTCGTAATGTAGCTTCAGGAACTTTTCAGAACATAAAGGAGAATTTTTAAATTGGCAGAATGTTTTGAAACAACTCAGTCATATTTAATTAACCTTTTAATTTCAGAGGATAAGACAAGAATAGATAATCAAGTCAAGGATTGTGCAAATGTAGGAGAGACACTAATTATTCGCAGGGCGGAAGAGGATCCTAAAGTTAACCTATGGGGGAAAATCAATTTGAACAGGAACATTCCACTTAAAAGAATGACCCATGGGGAAACAATCCTTCTACTTGAAAATGAGTTCAGGTAAGACTCTGGAAGCCCTACCATCTATTCTGGCATTCGAGTGCACAACAATATTTATTTCATCTGTCAGATAGTAGGATTAAATGGAATTCACAAGATTGTTGAATTGTAGCCATACATCCAAACAAACAACGGGTACCTTGGCAGGAGGATATAAACATTAAGAAATTTTACATTCATCTCATTTGGGTGTTCCATCAAGACAAGAAATTTTGTTTACATAAATACCAGAAGCTCAGTAAGAATCCCTTGATAGTAACTGAGATTCTAATAGCTAATACAGCCTTATTTCTACCTTTCTTGATCTTCAGTAGTGGGGGTGGGGGGCAAACTAAAATTATTTTTCTGGAGTCCAATTTGTATAAAGGCATAAACTGTTAAAATTCAAAAGAAAACCCCAATAGAATTGAAATACAAAAACCAGTTCCCTGTTCAGTTACATTTGTCCATGAGGCATCTTGGACATTGGAAGCAAATCATTAGAATCTAACCTAAGGGCAGATGTCTAATGAGGCGTAAAATTAATTGGGGCTTAACTGTCAGTTGAATGACTATCAAAACTGATTCTATCCTAGGTTGTTGGCACCTAAGTATAATTAATCATGGGGAAAAGTCTACAGATTGCTGGACTTAGCCCATCATTCTGAAGGGTAGTGTTCCAGCTGTGAAATACATCACAGGATAAATATAGCATGAAACGCTGGTGCTAGATTTTAGGAAGAAACAATTCTGGGATCTATGTTGACTGCAGGCTGAGGTTTTGAAGTGTGAATTTTTCCCCAAGGAAAAATTAGGGTGAGTATGAACAATTAGTGAAGAAGTCAATTGTACAGTTCCCATCAAATGGAGAGATGTCTTCACAAGATTTTTTGCCATGGATTGGAGAAAGCAACATTAATTTCTTTTTCTCATAGGGAAAAGAAAAATAAAACAACAACAACAACATAGTAATACAGGAAACCAGAGCATCCATGTCCTATACTCAGAGGTACTAGAGACTGATGGGAAAAAATGAAATAGATGTCAGATTCTCATGGAACTCTGGCATTTTAATCAGAACTGATCTGTTTTGTGAATAGGAACCTCACCCCTATCAATTTCCACCTGAAGGAAAATAAGTTCTTTTTACAAGAGGATTCTTCTATTATTCTATCTGAAATGTATGTGACTCCAAGTAGCTATAATCATAAATTAAGGCTACAATTTTGACTATCAGTAATATTTGCCCTTGAAAAAACAATATATCCATTGACTGTTGTAAAAAAAAAAAAAGGAGCAAACTTTCAAAGAGCGAGACTGTTCTCTGAAATGATCAGACCAGTCAATCATTTGTTAAACAAATATTTATTAAATGCCCACCATTTGTCAGGCATTATGTCTTCAGTGAAAACTGTCCTTAATGATGT